TAGTAGTAAGGCCAGGAGCCCCTAGTAGCGTCCTTGCTCCTAGTAGCGATGCCCTTGTTACTAGTAGCTTGGCGTCTTCACTTCTTGTCTCCCTTTTCGCCAAGTGGCATATGAGCGATGCACTCCCCGGCGGTGGCGCATCGGACCAGGACTTTTGGCTCTGGCGAGAGTGCGAGGACCCCGAACGTGGCGCGGAGTGGAGGGAAACACTTGTTCCTAGTAGCTTCTTGTTACTACTAGTAAGGCACTTGTTACTAGTAGCGATGCACTTGTTCCTAATAGCTTCTTGTCGGTAGAAGCAAGAAGGAAAGGTAGGGGCAAGGATATCTTTGCAGACTGTCGTGACAATTAATGGAATGTCTAGAATCCTCTCTATGGAGTCAAGTCATGTGAAGAGGCACTGTGAATCCAAAGGAAGCCACTGGAACAAAGACTGAAAGTGTCCCCACTCGCCCCAAACCAATGAGATGAATTGCTTTTAAAGAACACTTTTCATCCAACCTAGGACCTAGGCCGAATGGAATATATTCTGGATTGCGAATCTGGGTGTCCACGCGTAGAGCCAACAAAAGGCACCTGCGGCCAAGAGCAGCAGCGTCCAGATTGCGCTGACACAGGTGTAGACTGCGGCGCAGGAAGCCGGAACCGTCAGGAACCGTCAGGAACCGTCAGGAACTGTGATGTCTGTGTCAACAGGCAGGAAGAAAAGCATGTCTTTACCGTTTACGTGTACATGTTTACATCTTTAAAAAAGGACTGTGTCTGAAGAGTCGAAGTCGAGATGCAAAACGATGGGTCGATGAGACTTGTAGACGTGCATGTTAGGGTCTCACAACTACCAGTAATGCTTAAGATTCACAAATCTCCAGAGTCAGTCTGGCTTGGGAAAGAAACAAAAAAACTGTGCTGCTTCCAGAGGTTCCTGAGCTTCCTGCAACTCAGATCTTGGAGTTTGTGAACTTAAACAAACCATTCCAATCTACCATAAATTGACCATAAATTCAGGTTTACGCAATCAGTTTGGAGGGGCCATCGCTCGTATAGGCTGGAGGCTATCACTAGTAGTGACTCTTGAAGTGACGCGTTCAGTGAACGACCACTTCCACACGAATAGGAGAGCAGAGCATCGAGCCTAAGAAGAGAATGAAGAGCTTTTGGTTCGAAAGGCCAACGCAGTTGTTGATCCAAGGACAATGATGGTCCTGCACCAAGTTTCAGAACTCGTCATCGTCATCGTCCTCTCCGACTTGTTTCATGACCCCTGCGAATGGTGTGACTTTTAAGAAGCTACTAGGAGCAAAGGGCATCGCTACTAGGAGCAAGGACGCTACTAGGGGCTCCTGGCCTTACTACTAGGAGCAAGAAGCTACTAGGGGCTCCTGGCATCGCTACTAGAAGCAAGGACGCTACTAGGGAAATTGGAGATCCTCCGGACTCGCAGCGCCGAGCTGGAAGCGTTTTAAGGTTTCAGGTGTTTCCGGCAGTCCATGCGGAAGATGCAGCATCGACACCTTGGTGCTGAAAGCTTCCCTGAAACCCGTCCAAAAGGGTTTACCAAAGAATACTACTGCTTGTTGGGTTCTTTGCCTGCAAGAGTCTGTGGACAGGAGACAAATGTTCCCCCCCCAAGGTGGCTTCCATACAAGCAACTTCTGACAATTGTGTTTTTGTCTAGTTCGGGCACTCAAGGGCCCGCACGTCTTGCAATGATGCGCTCGAGGTGGCTTCCAGCGTTCCTCAGGTCAAGCAGTTCATCCGAACATCGCACGATATAAATCAAAAATCATAACTCCTGCGGTCTTGGACGTCATTCCTTTCAAAAGCAAATCTTTACTAACCCTTCCCAATCCACGATCTCTTCCAAGTGCATCGCTACTAGTAACAAGTGCCTTACTAATTCTAATTTAATTCTAATGGCTTCTTGTTACTACTAGCGATGCACCTGTTACTAGTAGCTGTTTTCCAAGAAAGCTTTTCAAAAACCATCCGATGTCTCACATTGCCTGGCAGAGCTTGCAATTCCGCGGATTGCTGAGGCTTTCGGGTGCCGAACTGGGCAAAAACCGGCAAAGCACGCTCCATGCAAAGCAGCGACACAGCGGTGTGAGGCAGCTGAATGTGGAAAGAACGAAGTTTCACGTCCCCAGCCGTTTCAAGACTCACAGGCACTAATTGGTTTGAACTGTTCAAATTTGTCCATGTTTAGTCTGCTAAAAACAGTGAAATCACAAGCAGGTTGGAGGCCATCGCTCTTAGTCTGCTCAACACATCAACAAATTGGTTTCGGTGTCTCCCGAAAGCCTGAGCGACATTGTGCCCGGATCAGTGGTGACGGCACGCACATGGGAGACCCTCAGTGACGTTTTGTTTTCCCGACTCTTAAGAACAATGGTCAAAACGGTGTGACTTTTAAGAAGCTACTAGGAGCAAAGGGCATCGCTACCAGGAGCAAGGACGCTACTAGGGGCTCCTGGCCTTACTACTAGGAACAAGAAGCTACTAGGGGTGACTTGCTATCTTTTTCTGAAACACGAGAAGTGGCCAAGCCCTCGAGGCCCCGGACAGAGACAACATCAGGAGCAGCTGGTACCTCAATTGCAATCCAGTTGTTGCTCACAAATTTTGGCTCCAAGCATGGAACCGCCAGGAAGGCATGGCATGTGCATTGCAGACACCTTATTGCAGCTTCATATGCTGCAATGTGATGCCGATAATGCCTCCTCTGAGTACCGTTTTCTGATATTGAGCACAGCTTGGATCCTTGGACATCCGAATCACAAAATCTTTCGGAAGAGAAAGACGAAGACTGGTCGTTCCCTTGAAGTTCAGAGCTTGAGCCGAGCTTGAGCGGAGAACACGATCAAAAGCGGCCTGTGTTGGTCGACGCCACTTCCATTCTCACTGCGGGACATGATGCTCAAGATCCTCTACAATCAATTCTCAGGGCAAACGCAGCTTAACGGCGAGTTGGAAGCCATCCCTCTTAGGTTGGAGGTCATCGCTTTTGGCTTGGAGGTCATCGCTTTTGGGTTGGAGGCCATCACTTTTGGGTTGGAGGCCATTGCTACTAGGTCGGAGGCCATCGCTCTTAGGTCGGAGGCCATCGCTACTAGGTTGGAGGCCATCGCTCTTAGGTTGGAGGTCATCGCTTTTGGGTTGGAGGCCATCGCTACTAGGTTGGAGACCATCGCTACTAGGTTGGAGGCCATCGCTACTATGTTGCAGGCCATCGCTACTATAGGTTGGAGGCCATCGCTCTTAGGTTGGAGGCCATCGCTCTTAGGTTGGAGGCCATCGCTGCTAGGTTGGAGCCATCGCTCTTAGGTTCGAGGCCATCGCTACTAGGTTGCAGGCCATCGCTACTAGGTTGGAGGCCATCGCTCTTAGGTTGGAGGCCATCGCTCTTAGGTCGGAGGCCATCGCTCTTAGGTTGGAGGCCATCGCTCTTAGGTTGGAGGCCATCGCTCTTAGGTTGGAGGCCATCGCTTTTGGGTTGGAGGCCAACGCTCTTATATAGGTTCGAGGCCATCACTCTTAGGTTGGAGGCCATCGCTACTCGGTTGGAGGCCATCGCTTTTGGGTTGGAGTCCATCGCTCTTAGGTTGGAGGCCATCGCTAATAGGTTGGAGGCCATCGCTTTTGGGTTGGAGGCCGCTTTTGGGTTGGAGGCCATCGCTCTTGGGTTGGAGGCCATCGCTCTTAGGTTGGAGGCCATCGCTCTTAGGTTGGAGGCCATCACTCTTAGGTTCGAGGCCATCGCTCTTAGGTTGGAGGCCATCGCTCTTAGTAGCCATCGCTCTTAGGTTGGAGGCCATCGCTCTCAGGTTGGAGGCCATCGCTCTTAGGTTGGAGGCCATCGCTTTTGGGTTGGAGGCCATCGCTCTTAGTAGCCATCGCTCTTAGGTTGGAGGCCATCACTCTTAGGTTCGAGGCCATCGATCTCAGGTTGGAGGCCATGCCTCAGAACCCGTTCTCCAAAAAGCCGAGGAGTGGACAAGGCCAGCAGAAAGAGCCCCAAGTCGCTCAAAGGCACCTGCCCGAATCACTTTGGAAGTTGTCGTGTCGTCTTTCCCCTCCTCTTGGCCCCAAAATGAATTTTTGTTTAAGCCCACCTGTGGCTCTGCCTGTTTCCTGAATTAAGTAGGCACCTACTTAATCAAGTAGGGGGAAACTTGCACGCTCCTAGCTACTAAGACGCTACCTACTGGACGCAGGATAGCTCACAATTCTCCAAGCAAGCGCTTGCACTCTTCATTTGGTTCGACTTGTGGGAAGAAAGGTAGCGTGGTTGAAATCGAGAGCGTTCTTGTTGAATGTACAAGGGTTCAGGCATTTCCAATCAAGATCCCAAAAGTAGCGGCTCTTGCAGTGCTAGTTGCTTTGCCATTGCTAGTAGGTTGGAGGCCATTGGTTTCAGAAACAACGAAAAAAATAAAAGGAAGAAAGGTCCAATATAGTTTGTTGATTGTTGTCCTTCATTGAGTACTTCCCACAGCACAATCAGTGCTTGAAAAGCGCCGCTTCTGCACCATACCACCAGGCCCCATCGGCAACCTGCTGTTCGTTTTCTCCTGTTCCCACGAAGAGGATGTGTCACACAGCAAATCCACAAAAACTACCAAGAAAATAGCAAACGGAGTACAAGAACGCAATTGTTGAACAGGTTGTGTGTGTTTTCCTTTTTTCAGTAGCTTGGAGGCCGCCCAAAAATGGCTTCCTGCTAGGTTGGAGGCCTACGGCGGCCTACGTCTTCAACCGTGCACTCCACTCCTCTTCCACTCCCCGTGTCAAACCGAGACTCCGACCCAGCGAAATCTTGGCCGACTTGTTGTGAACCAGGCGAACTGAGAGGAACAACGGCAGAGTCGTCTAAGCCATGTCGTTCTAGTGATTGGTTGGATGTTGTAAGCGCATTTCATGCTTCCATGAAGATCATGAAGCAGATTTTGTTGACAGGATCTCTTTGAACGTTCTGAGACCAAAGCCAGCACAAAGCGCACCTGAGCTTCACGTGGAAAAACAATCAAAACTGACCAGTCAAGCTTGCACTCCACATTCTTGCGACTGATTGGCACGAAGGATTGCCAAATTGGTGACACCAAGCAAGGTGGGAAAAGTCTGAGAAAGGACCATCTGGGTGCCCGACCACCACCGCATCTGTGAAGATTAGGAGGAGCCAGGTGAGTAAGGACAATGCGATGCCAAAGGCATCCAAGTTCACCCTGCCACGGTCGCGGCTGTCGACACGCGACAGTTGCAACCCCCTCTGACAGGTCCTCCGCACTCATCGTCAACGTCCTCAAACTTCGTCGTCTTTTCGAAAACACTGTTTTTTTCCTTTCTTGCAGGCCTTTTTGGAACCCTTCCTCTCGTGTCCGTCGCCTCTTGTTTGGTGAACAAATCGAACACCATATTTCTCTCAGCTTGTTATGATTGTGTTTACATTCGCACTCAGAAACGTCTCACAAGCCAGAGGAAACCACATGGGCCCAAAGCCATGTCCGGCAGCTGAAATCTCAACACTGTGCTAGTAGGTTGGAGGTCATTGCTAGTAGGTTGGAGGCCATCGCTCTTAGGTTGCAGGCCATCGCTATTAGGCTGGAGTGACTTCCTAGGTGTATATTTTGAGTGTGTTTTTCTCAACATGGTTTTACTGTGAGCTTCGTGCAGCAATCACGAAAGGCTCCGCTAGAAATGGTGAGTGAGAACTCTTTAAGCCTAGTCAGTTCATTGTTCATTCTATTCTCTTCATGTCAGGGTCATGCTGAGCATCTGAAAAGCCTTTTCTCAAACATGAACGGCAGAAAGATTCAAGAGGCGAGATCGCACAGATCTCCAAGTGCTGAGAAAGACGCACTCTGGGCCAAAGATTGCCGATTTGTGGATCGGATCAAAGACGATTTGTGGATTTTGTGTCTCTGCCCTAAACGCAATACTTCACATAATTCATGTCATCATGGGGTCGTGTCTACCACTCCCCCAATTGTCGATTTGTGGGGATTCGAGCTTTCCGGCTCCCTCGACGAACTCGAGCACGTTGCCAAATGTTCGAACTCGAGTCATGAAAGCATATGGTCAAGTGAAGGCCCAAACAATGGTGCACGTGACAACCCTGGCCATACCGGCCATACCTCCAAACAGCGCCATATCATGAACCAAAGATCGCTGCAGCATTTTTGGCATCCTCTGAAATGCAACCTTTGGGCTCTGGCCTACGCATTCACCACCTTGCCATAGAAAATGCCCTTGAGCAAAATGGTCCTGTCAAGAATCAACGGCAAACAAATTCCACGAACTTCCCTCCCTCGTATTCTCTCAACTGCTTTGCTTTCTGCATCCTGCGAGGAACAATCTCTCTCTCTCTCTCTCCCCCGTCGGTCTTGGGTTCTTAAAAGTAAGCCATGGCTTCAAACCTACTAGCGATGACCTCCAACCTAGTAGCCCTCGTAGCAATGGCCTCCACCCTAGTAGCAATGGCCTCCAACCTAAGAGTGATGGCCTCCAACTTAGTAGTGATGGCCTCCAACCTAGTAGCGATGGTCTCCAACCTAAGAGTGATGGCCTCCAACTTAGTAGTGATGGCCTCCAACCTAGTAGCGATGGTCTCCAACCTACTAGCGATGGCCTCCACCCTAGTAGCGATGGCCTCCAACCTACTAGCGATGGCCTCCAACCTACTAGTTAGTGCTGGCCGCCAACCTAGTAGCGATGGCCTCCAACCTAGTAGCGATGGCCTCCAACCTACTAGCGATGGCCTGCAACCTACTAGCGATGGCCTCCAACCTGACCTCCAACCTAGTAGCGATGGCCTCCAACCTAGTAGCGATGGCCTGCAACCTAGTAGCG